CGACTGTTAACAGATACCCACTCTAAAAGTGCTTGTTCTGTCCTTGTACTAAGTGCTACGCCTACACCTGCAAGTCCACCAGAACCAGCTATCGGGTCGCCAGATACACAGAGGTTGTATCTCGTCGTCTCTCCGTTTCGGAGAGGTGAGATTAAGTAAATGACCACACTAGGATACTGTATTGGTGTTTCGGAGGCACAGCATACATCAATGGTACGAGATTCTAGGCTCCAATGTGTAGTTTAGAGAAAGGTTTCAGTAGACCTTGGACAGTGTTTGAGCACTAGAATCGTTGGCTATGGTGACACTTGAGGAGGACATGAAGAATTCAGAAGATTAGAATTTGGGAGAGCATAAATAGTGGATGCACCTTCGCCATTGCAAACGATTTTGAGCCATGTCATTCAAGGTCTCTAACCATTGGTTGTTATCATCTCGTGGATCCCAACCAGGTAGTCTACACCTACCAACATAGCTCGTACTTGTTCGGACTTTACCGCCGGAGATGGATATCCGTGGGATAAGGCGTGGTGTGCATTTTCAGGGACGACCTTTTCTAACCTCACCTCTCCTTGTAGGAAGGCAGCATCGCTGTCATGCTGGTTGTCTGAAGGAAACACCTTACTGCCATCACACCTCTGTACAGTCAGCAGTACGACTTCGCCTTCGGACCTCGGGTTTGCTGCTTTTAGTCTTACCGCTCTTCAACCGACCTGTCTGGCATGGTAGTACCTTGAGGAACTATTGTTCCAGCCAGTATAGCTCGATTGGTTCATCACGATAGGCAAGCCCGACCACCACGTCAAGGTAGCAACAGTGGTCGGAACATATATATATATATATATATATATATATATATATACTGGACTTATAATCTGGTCGTACAGTTGGGTAAAAGTCAGTGAGCTATTTGGTCCGATAAGATAATATTTAAATTTGATTATAGGTTAATTTTCCAGTCTATTTAACTTATTCTTCAAAATTTCTATCTATTCACTCTGTACACGTTACTATCCATATATTATCATTAGTAACAATAATAATGATAATAACTTTTAACATTCAAATAACTGTCAAAAAAGACAGTAATAACACAAGCAGGTACATACATACAATGGTGTACGTGCAAACTTTGATAATGGACGAAAAGTGAGTACAAAATGTACGTCAAACAAAATTAGGATAGAAAACAAATTATCATCAATGATGACCGACTAACACGAAAACTATTTGCGAACCGAACTAATCTCTTTAAACCATCCTCAAATATATATATAATAGAAAATAACTGAACTGGATAATTAACGTGACAGAAATTGACTCAATGATTCCAGATAATCTAATCTCAGTTTTATATTTACACAAGAACACTTAGAAAGACAAGTTTGAAAAGCTTATACTTTTAGAAGCTAGAAAATACTACATAGCTATCAGTCGGCGTTGAAAATAACCATGTCAGTCAGCTACAACGTAGGACCAGGCACATGTATGCATCGGTCCAAGTTGCCATACCTCGTTAGCACAACAAGATCAACACCGGATTCATAGTAGGATATATTTATTAAAGGTTAATAATGTGATTCGGTTACAAGGTCTTAAATATAGGTAGCTTTTTAGTATTGCTTTGACTACGAAGTCAACAAATACTGAAATCAAACATACAGAGTGGACCAAAACAAGTCGTAGATTGATAAAATTAGTTGTGACATGGCTTATGTAATTCAAACTACGAAACTGAGATGTACGATGTAAGATGCATAAGATGATACAATAAAACGAATGTTTTTTTTAGTATAAACAGACAAAAACAAATCAATTTAGAAATAATCTAATTGTTTGCAGTATGGATTTTCATTTTAAAGTCTTCAAGAGCTTAAAAACTAACACATGTAGGACTAATGTAATATTATTCGAAATTGATAGCACGACCAAACGCCTGACGAATTTTGCGCACGTATTCAGAAAGTTCATCTGGATTTGACAACCTCCATTACTGATGGCGTAAGCAAGACGACCTGCCAACCAAAAGACAAGCTTATTGAGCACCAGTTTGCTCTACCTTAATTTATGACTACAAACGCAGCCGCAAAATATTCGATCAATGATGCCTTCAAAGTATTCCTGATGTATATCAAGACGACAGAGTGAGTAATGTTGAAGTTGTACACAGGGCACCAGGTAATAAGGCGAATCAGTCCATGACATCGTGAGTCGTTATCAGCTCAAGTGGTTAGGACATATGTTAAGCATAATTAACCACCGACTACATCGACTCTCAATATTACATGATATACTAGTCGGGAATAAAGGTGAAGGCTACCAAACCAAGATGAGACATCATTCCATGAAGCCATTGACAATCGGACTGAGAGACTTAGGTAGATGCAGACTACCTGGTTGGGGTTCACGAGATTTTAGCAACCAATAGTTAGAACCCCTAGGTAAGAAGGGTCAGAATCGTTCGCAACAGCGTGGGTGCGTTCACTCTATAAAAATTTTTTCCATGATCCCGAGTTTCTTGTCTTATTATATCTCCTATGTCCTAACGTTACTACTACCATTAATACTGTTACTAATTATTCCACTCCAGTATCGAAGTGTACTAATGTGGTTTGGTAATTTAAATCAATGCACATATGTGCCAGCCTCTACGTTGCATATGACCAAATGACTGAAGTGTACTTATTCTTAGCCTTGTTTTAAACTGTTAACATTTTAATATTTCTCTATCGCCTAGTCACATAACTTAGTTCATGCCTTTATTTCTTTATTTAAGGATTTTTTCATCTTTTGCGTATTTATTTGCCTGTGATGATCATCCTGTATGACCACCTTAATTGAAATGTAACATCGATTTTCATTTGAAAACTTTTACAAATTTCTGAATGTATTTATTGGTGAAAATGTTATTGATGGTGTCATCCTTGTAATATTTACTTAATATATCATTCTTAAACAATTGTTCAATATTAAATACCATAAACAAGTGAATTGTAATATCATGAAAACATTTTATTTGTTGATCACCTGTAGAAATGTTTCATCTGAAACATGATAGGAAATCTTCAAGAAGCACATTATGGAACCTCACTATTATTATTAGTTTATTATAATTCATATCAAACACAGTTTGCAATCAACCTACTCTAAAATTGATTTTAATACTACAACATTAATATGAAATCAAACACATTTCATTTGAAGCATACATAAATAAGTTTATGTAACTTGAATAATAAGGGTTCGATGTTTTGAAAATCTCGCCATTTCTTTGAAATAGAAGTGTGATGAAATTGATGGTAGATAAGTCAATGAGTTTCGATAATGTAATAAGAAGACGAAGATTATCAGAACTATGTGATATATTAGCAAAGGTCATGATCAAAGAAAGAACAAGGTCCATGCTTCATTCAAAGCCTAGACGACATGAAAACGATTGTGTCACATCCCACTGCGTTTACCAATTTAAATGTGTGTGTGGTCACACATACATAGGGAGGAGCAATCGTGATCTGAAAATTAGGGTGGGTGAACATGTACCAAAATGGTTGCAAAAACAAATACAGTCGAATGACCCAATAAGAGTAGAGGATAAACATCCATCATCCTCTGTTGCTAAACATATAATCGAAACAGGTCATAAGATTGATCTTAACTCAGCTTTTGTTGTGTTGTTTAAAAGTGTAAAAGGGCGTATACTGAGGTTTATTGAAGCCTTAGCCATACGAAAATTCAAACCCCCTTTGTGTATTCAAAAACAGTTTGTTCTCTCTTTAAACCTACCCTGGTAATAAATGCTTATTATCCAGAGTGATTAGGTGTCAAGTTGTTTTCACATTATTTTATCATTATTATCCTTGTCTATTTCTTAACCTTATTACCAGTCTAGTTGACCTTTTATTTTTATACATAAATGTTCTTAACAAGTATATGTGTGATCAGATTGTTCGAAATGTATTGCGCTAATATATCACATAGTTCTGATAATCTTCGTCTTCTTATTACATTATCGAAAGTCAATGAGTGTCAAATCATCCTTAAGTAAAAAGATAGGCTATTAGATTTGAGACTTTTCAAAATTAATAATTTAAATATAAAAAAGTCTTCCAAATATTCTCAAAGATAATGAACTCTTGGAAGATTGAGGAACAATAACTCTACTGATAATACAAACACAGAAATAATATTGAACGATAATATAGCTAAACAACCTGAAAAAAACTTAATTTTTTTAATAGTAATAATTCTGAGGAGGATTTTAAAGATACTACTCAGAGATGTATGGACCTATTGAGCATTCTGTTTTAAAACACTTAGATTTGGCTGTGAATGCACTCAACTAAGTTGTTGGAAGGGAAAACAAATTCTCTATTGTTGATCTTTTTTAAGTCATTCTTTGTATTGTACTTAATTCATTTGATATGTCTATCAGTACCATAATGTACTCCTTAGTTTGAAGTATCTATGTTTTATAAACGATAGATGATCTGAAAAGTGTTGATTTATTCTAATGTTTGATTATTATAGCCTGTTAGTCACGTGTTATGTAGGAAATGTATTTTTCCTTTTAAAAAAACGTCGTTAACATATGCTTCCGAATAAGAAACAGCAGTAGCAAGCTTTTTGTACACAAATAATAAGACTGTGTGAGGATTTTTCATTACAACATGAATAGTAAACAAATGTCCAATGACAATCAATAATTGACAGCAAAATTACGTGACTATTATGTATGCTAGTAATAAAGGCAACGTTGACTTTTGAAACGGAAGAAACATTTATTTAGCTTCGTGATTTTCAATTTTCGCCGAAATATGAGCTCCACTCAAACATCGTATGTAAGAATTTGAGTGTTAATCGGTAAGCAATATTCAACGTAACAATGGACGATATTATTTAGCTGCATTGCAACTCGGGTACTTAAGTCAGAAATTGAGTTCGTAGAATACCACACATAAAAACAAATGAGAAAAGATGTACAGGAAATTAGACAAACTTACATTATTCATAAAGCCACTGCTATTATTCGTATTATTGTTAGTAACAGTAGTATTAGAAATACCAGCGTTATGAATGTAATTACTATTGTTATTGTAATAGTTTATAATCCTATCACCACTAGTCCCAGTAATAAACTGATCTGAATTAGCAATTGTTTGATGAGAATCAAGTTTAGTGTTATTATTAGTCAGTAGAGGACGATTCCCAGCGCTTGAAGATAATGGCCATCCACCGACTAATTTAGGTGTATTTTGATACGGGTTAATTTGTTGATAGTGTAATGCGCCCTGTGATTTAGATGAAATACGTGACTGGATATTAGTGTTAACAGCTGCTATAGTATTGTTATGTTGTAATTTAGGAGTATAATCCTGTTGTTGTCGATGATGATGATCAACTGAACTTATATTTGTATGGTTTTGATGCATATTGGTAATAGTATTCGAATTTATAACTCCAGTGATGGAAGTAGTTGATAAAGAAGGGGATAAAGGTCTTTGCTTACGAGATGGCAATGGAGCAGTTGGTTTTTCTGTTGTGTTACTCGAAGTTGTTGTGGTAGTGGTTGTTGTTGAACCTGTTGATGATTGACTAACCTGAGAAAATAGATTAATAGGTTCCGGATGCAATCCAAGTGTTTTAGGATAAGTAATACTGTTGTTAAGAATATCAAGTGAATCAGAATATACAGGATGACATTGACTAGAATGAGAAGCATTGATAACATTTGATGTGGAAATTTCATCCAATGGAATAGGATGCGAAGAACACTCTTTAGATGTAGAAATTATGGAATATAAATTAGCAGGACTACTATTTTGAGACCCAGCATAGTACTGAAGAATTGGTTGAATGTGTGCGTCAACAGAAGACTGAGATTTTTCTAAATCAGATTGATTTGTAATTTCATAAGATTTGGTCAAATAACCAGGTGTTACGGTACCGAATTGATCTAAACATTAAGAAAAAATAAAGCATGTAAGTTGTAAATAAAAACTTAAATTACAAGAAGAAATAGTTTCAAGTATTGTTTAGCAACATTAGAACCAAAAAATTGAAACAACACAACATGTGATGTAATAAAACATTGGTTTAGACTATCACATTTCAAAATAACACTGACATAATAACCAAAAAGAAAAACAATGAGGACTAAAAACTACATAAATGTAAAATGATGTTAAACGCATGAAGTGGAAATTCAGATTCAGAGCAATCAGGACATCACAACGCAGGTGTTAGGCCAAAAACACAGCACTAGAACCGAAAACTGATGAGATAGGCAATTTTTAAAGAAGTTAATAATATGTAGTCTATACGCTAACCTTTAATCCGATAGCACTAAGTAAAACCTCTAAATATAAATTGGGTAAGTAAAGAGAGACAGTGTACTATGTTTTTGCTCACTATCTGTGATAAGAATAATACGATCCCTATAACAAATATCTAGGAAAATTTGCCATCACTAAACTCAAATATCAAAGTTACATGGAAATCTTTATACTGATTATGCACAATAAACTGTATTTGAAACATTACTGTCACCATGACTGTATTATTGAGTGTCGAATAAACAAACAACAGGGAAAAAGAGTGTATGTAGTTAACCTGATTATTTCAAAAAGTGAACTGTGCTGACAAACGATTAAAAGTAATTAATATATATAGCTGAGCAGCGCTTTGAATTATTGGTTAAACTGCTAAATTACTAGGTCTTATATCATTGCATCACGTTTTCGAGCTGTTCTACCAAGATCATTCTGGACAACCAAGTAGTACTATTTTTTTTATAACACAAAACAAACTGTGCTTGAAAGCTAACTACATACATTTGTATCTGATTATTAAGTCAGCTACTAAGATGGTACACAATATTTTATATGTTCTCATTTTGACAACTGACAGTTCGTTCATTAAATCATAAAACCTTAATTCAAAAATTTCCATTATCATATAAGATAAATTTATTTATATTAACTTGATTAAAGAGGATAGGATGTTTATCTCTTTACATAATAGTAAATTATTAAATAAGAATTCAGAAAATGTACCACTTGAGTAGGAAATTATATGTTTGACCATTAAGTAATAAAATAATAATGTAACTTATTTATCAGTACAAAATAGGTAGAGCGAAATTCGAGACCATGATTTATTTGGTTAAAATTCGATTGTTTTACCCACTAAACTATCGTTCTAATTGAGTAGAAAAAAATATGCTTCCAGTAAACTTATCTGTTATTACTATGTTCAAAGGTGTACTACAGATCTAGACAATCGACTGTTATCTAGTTGTTAATTTGTGTTAAAGTATATTTGCAACAGATATCCGGATAGAATTGTTCCCTTCAATACAGCAGTATATCAATGTATCAAATGAATGAAATTTTTTGATGACCTGTTATCAAAACTCACTTAGTAATGTTTGTTTGGATCTTCCCATCGATGTGTTTAGGACTGCAACTGGTCAGTCTCTAATTGGCATATGTGCATACTGTGCGTATTGCCTCGATATACCTTAATTCACAAGCATGGTAAGCAGAGATGGATAGTGGCTAGCAGTGGAATCCAGGACGCGCGTTTCGTCCTATTTGGGACTCGTCAGCTGGATGTACCTGCATCTCAGAGTTGATGTTCACTCTGGGACTCGAACCCAGCACCCTCGCTTCAAACGCCATCGCGTTATCCACTCGGCCACTGAGTCCTGATAGCCACTTGCTTGTGCGATGGGGTGAAGTTTGAATTCACTTAGTAATGTTTGTTTGGATCTTCCCATCGATGTGTTTAGGACTGCAACTGGTCAGTCTCTAATTGGCATATGTGCATACTGTGCGTATTGCCTCGATATACCTTAATTCACAAGCATGGTAAGCAGAGATGAACTTTTGTGAGAAGTATACTTCCATCAACGTATATGTGAATATAAAAATTGCATGATTTTAAAGGCATTCTATTAACAAATTGAACTTATTAGAAACAAATAGATGTATTCTAACTAAAAGAATAGGGTATTTTAACACAAAAAATACGTCGAGATTATTTCTACTGTTACTGCAGTTTGGTGATACTAGTTCTTTTGAGACAGAAAAGTGATTTATCGGTACAATTAAATCAGTCTTTTTCATAACAGGGAGTTGAGGATTAGAGAGTAATGGATAATCGTTTAATCCTTTTACGAGAATATAGGAGTATAATCAATTGAGGAAATCAGGCCGATGAACTAGAACATTAAACATGTAATGATAACGAACGGTTGGCGAATATTCTTAATACACAAATAATTTTAGGATAATTTTAACCTATGAAGTGATAATTTAATAGCTTAAAAAATACATATATACAAATGTTACATTAAGAAAATTGAAATAACTCGGATAACATCTCTAATGGTAACCAATATGATGTCATTTAATTTAGTCGTCGAAGTTTGCAAAACAATCTGATATTGTTTTCAAACCTTGATTCCATATTATAATGCAGTTTATTAAGAGCTGGTTAACTAAAAATTAAAGTTAGCGCTAAGCCTATGTGTCATGCTTAACAGTAAAACCCACCTAGATCCCTACAAAGAAACATCTGACACTGTACTCATATTTATGTCGTTTTTGCCCCCATATGCCCTGGTACGGCCGAGAGTGGGGAGAGTCACCTCTCCCTCTCGAAATACTCTCATATGGCCAGCGAATATATAGCCTCTGTCAGGGAAGTCCTACTCACTGCCTTCTCGTGGTGGCGGGTGTTGTTCACGAAATTGAGAGGACGAAAAGCGGATGTCCGGCGCTTTAACCGGGTTGGTGGACACGGAGGGTCCACCTAGGGGAGTTGGAAAACCCCCATTCCAAACCAATGGTGCACATGGGCTCCAGTATCCCGATGGAACGAATGGCGGACGAACCTGTCATTGGTCAACGGCCACCATGGGACTGCATCTCCTCACGATGCTCCACTGCCTTGTGGATCAGACATTCAGGTCAAAGGCTCTGGGTGTGGCCCCCTAAGAAAACCACCTGCTTCAGTCTGGGCACCTGGGCAGTATCACAGCCCTCACACAAATCGAATGAAATTTGTGAGGCGCATATTTATCTGGTGCTTCATTGTACCAATATTTATGTGTTTAAATAAACAAATAATAAAATATGTCGTTTAGGCAGAGATACTAACAATAAGCCAGCTCATATTGAAAGCAGGAAAATCCTATTAAATAGCAAGTACTCTCAGATAGGGCAAAAAAGATATATGCAGTACTCATTTGAAAATAAAGTTATGTTGCATAGGCTTACGTTGACTAAATAAGTGATCTGGAAAAGTAGATTGTCCATTGCTACACAACCTGTTATGATCTGGATCACAGTTGCTGGATAAACAACAGTTGGACGATTGAGTATTATGAAGACAGATAGAAGTTCCCGAATTTTGATCAACGAAATCAAGATTTTCACGGGAAGTAGAGTGTCCCGTAGGTTTTTCTATAACTAGAGAGTAACTCTGTATTCCATTACGACATATTAATTGGTAACTTCGACTTGGAGTTGTCGGAGTTGATAGGTTATTAGGCGTAGTCCGACACTTTAGTCTGGCTCCTTGCTGTTGGTGAGAAACAGCTGATGTTGATGACTTATTTGAGGTACCACAGTAATTCGATAATTCCGATGTAAATCCACTGTTTGGTATAGACCCGATAGTTGAATTCCGCATAAAACTAGCTAACACATCATCGTCTTGACTTCTGTCATCTCTTTCTTCTCCTGTTTCTATTTTTAACTTCTCTTGAGTCTCAGTTATATTTGCCTTACGGAAATTCAACTGTGTTGACAATGACGACGATAAAGATAATAATAACGAAGGTAGCAATGATGTACATTTATTATTAACTTCTAAGTTATATTTATCAATGGAATTACTCCCATCTAATGAAGCACTGTTGTTCATTTCCCAAGACGAAATATTGGAACTTTGTGCCGAGTCATCTGACATATAATTTACACGTTTGTTACTACAATCAGCAATATTAGTCTGTGCTCCGATTTCTTGATCTACTTCAGCATCAATGTAATTTTCATTACTTATCGCTTTTAGTGATAAACACGTAGAATCTGATTGACTACGAACTAGACCACTGCCACTGTTCATAGAATTACTGGTAGCATAGATTTCAGGACCTGATTGTACAGGACAACAATCAGCAGATGTTACTGAACGCAACAATTGGTCATTTTTTGTCACAGCAGACTCCAAGTGTTTACGTATTCGATTAGGATAATATCTAAAACAGTTACGGCTGAACTGTACGCCCGTAGATGGAGTTGTAGATATTTTTTCCTTATTGTTGTTACTATTACAATGATCATCACGTTTATTACTTGGCATACATGTTCCAAATGCAGAAGATGATAAACTGGAGTGACGAAAGTGTGGTGTACACCGTAGCAGAGTATTACTTCCACGTGAATAAGATGAATAACTTATTGGGATTTTAGGGTTTACATCTCTAGAATTTAGTAAACTGTCAGTTGTTGAAATGATTGTATTATTTACAGAAGATATTGATTGATTACATTTACTATTAGTAATATTGGCATTTTCAGAAGTGCATATGTTACCTTCTGAATTATTTGTTTTCGTAGTATGTGCGGTAAAATTGTCTGCATCGTGAATTTTGAAACAATTGAACGATGTCATATTTGTAGGAGATTTAAGGGTTCCCAAGTAAAGACATCATATTAGTAGTGATGGTTGCAAATGTGAACAGAGGGAAAGAATAGTTATGACGTTTTGTATGACAAAATAAAGTACAACATTCTTAGGTAGTAGAACCACCAGTATCGTAGAGAACTTCCATAAAATATAATGTTGAAGGAGATAATAAAGAGCGAATGTGATATGATTAGTTCTTATAACGTTGTACATGACATAGATTTGAGAAAATTGAACTGTCCTATCACACCAGGAAAATTTTGTAAACTTTTAGGTAGGACATTAGGCATTTACTAAGCATCAATGAATATAATTCCGATACATCACTGGGATTACTAAAATCGAGCAAGTATAAGAACCTTTACTAGTGATTAATTCCCTGGTATTACTGTTATCGTAATCATTAAGCGGGAATCGAACGGTTGAATCAATCACATAAGTATATACAGTTAACTGTGTGACCATGCAGGTAAGAACAGATTCCAACATATCATTATTAACGGGACTGATACAATACATTGGTGTTAAAGAATAAGAATTTGTGCATTTATCTACACATGGAGGCAGACCATAGGTCATATTCACACTACATACTTGGTACAAAGTTGTATACATACACGATAAAAAAAGTAAACTGCCACTGTTAACACGACTAGTAATATTTCCCACTCAAAATGTGATAGAAGTGCACAATTTTACCAACATACGAGGACATATAGACACCTAATATGCAAACACATATGTATTTAACACAAAAGTAACCACAAATGGAAATTCGTGGATGTAAGCTCTCCTTTAAATCCCAAAAAGGAAAAAATCTGGACAACCAAAATAAGTTATTGATATGAGAAAAAAACTATAGTACTGTTGAACATAACCATCATTGTTATAATCATAATAATCATAATGATAATGATAATAATAACCAATTGGATGAAATCCATGGTACTATTAAGAATCAAAAGGGAGAGAGAAAAATGGACATTAGTTGCAAGCCTATCCTCACTAACCTCACTCTTCCAATGCCTTATTTAACAAATAAATACACTTCAAAATGAATATGCATACTTAGTAAGCATAGTTCAGGCTGAAATAACATGATAATTGACATTACTAACACACTGTATGAGACTGCCTATACATATTGATTGTCTGTCTTTCATTTAAAAATGATATTCATAAACACATAAATGACTAATCAAAAGTGCCAGGGGGAGAGAGAGAGGAAGCAACAAAATAGTGTATTCACCTTGTCTAATCAGATTTAGACCCAGATACATAGGGGAATATACCTAAAATTCATTTGTTCATTCTGCATAACAGAAACTAAAGTAATATTAGTAAATTATCTGAAAGAAAACCAAAACTGTTATCAATTATGAAGTGTTAAACGATATTTCAGTTGGAGATATAGAAAATCAACTTCAGAGGATTTAATTAGTCATAAAAGTAGAATGCTCACGAAATATTACCGTTTTTTTCACTGAGACCACTTATCAAACTTTGCAGAAAACTGACACACTCACTACATTATTACACATGATAGTAATAATGCTGCATTGAAGCGCATGCTATGTAATACCATAGAATATCTACTTCAAGGTAAGTATATTTTATAATTCAGGTCTTAGTACTTCATACACTCAAATATTACTTAAAGTACAAACTTAAGCCACTCTGTGTGTCAAGAAATGAGCTAGAGAAAAGAGCATAACAAAATAATGAATATCTAGAAGAAAAAATAGTAATGATCGGAGAGGAAAAGTCGTTATATAAGATATCCTTAAAAACCTATTGTTATTTTTGGCTTTTCACATACAGTTTCCGATAGAAATACTTCATTGCCGTGAGCGAACGGTAGAAAAATCCTAACTTTTAACTAGGACTATGATTTACAAATGGATGTGTAGCTCTTACGAGTGACTGAAAGAAACGCTTGACGACCAGACAACAATTAAAGCCTTATTGACAAATCAGTCTCACTACTCAGTTGGAGATATAGATGCTACAAACCAGAGTTATTTTAAATGTAAGCCTCCTAAAAAATATTGGAATGGTTTTTGATGTATATATAGTTCCTAGGTGCTGTTAAGACCATCATAACTGTGATTATATATTTACACTTAGTTCTTTATAGAAGTGACTGAAATCCACCAAAATACTAGTCTTGGAAAAAACCTAAATAATTCCAGTTTTAAAGTTATAACTTAGTGTTATATTTGATACAGCCATTCTGAAATTACGTGTGCTATTTGAGCATACCATCTTTAACGTTTGTACCATAATTAAATTAATGAAGGAGGTAGGTATGGTTTATCTATCGATGTGCTCAAATGAAGTATTAGTTTTTCCTAATTATCAAGTTCACAACTATGTTTTAGGTGCCTACATGCGCGAATTCTGTGGGACTAGCATTTCACCATGTGCCAGGACCATAACAATACATTCTCCCATATACTACTAATTTAGATCCGATCAATGTAAAAAGTAACGGGTGAGAACTATCTAATCTTTAGGAGAGTAAAACCCAGGCACAATTAGGAATCGTGAACTGCAAACAAGAGAAAATCAGGCTGACTCCAGACCCGGTCGTGGCTGTATCAACCACATATTCACTAATCGTCAGATTTCAGAGCACAGACATGTTTATCGGCGTCCGACAATGATAGTTTTTCTTGACTTGAAAGCAGCACTTGACTCTGTAGACTGAGAGGTTCTGTGGCAGTGTCTGTCATTCAAAGGTGTACCTCAGAAGTACATAAAATTTGTGATGGCTTTTAACTCGAACACTACCAGTCGAGTGAGAGCTTATGGTGAATTGTCATATGATTTTACAACCTCAAGTGGTGTCCGACAAGGCTGTCTACTATCCCCATTTTTGGTTAACTTCATTATAGACATATTGCTGGAAATAACACTTTCGTCAACTGAATTTTCAGGAATTGATCTTCTACCAGAGGGTTCACTAATCAACTTAGAATACGCAGATGACATAGTCCTGTTTGGTGAAGACGATGACAAAATGCAGAGTCTTCTGTTAGAACTGAATAATAATGCCAGGATGTTTGGGATACGTTTCTCCCCATCCAAATGTAAATTGTTACTCCAGGACTGGCCTGCGTCAACACTCGAACTAAGGATAGGGAGTGAAGTAGTCGAACGCGTGGACAACTTCACTTATCTTGGAAATCTGATCAGCCCTAATGGGTTGGTGTCTGACGAAATCTCAGCACGGATTCAAAAAGCTCGTTTGGCTTTTGCCAACTTACGTCACCTATGGCGAAGACAAGATGTCCGTCTATCAATTAAGGGACGAGTATACTGCTCATCAGTTCGTTCTGTTCTACTTTACGGCTGCGAAACATGGCCATTAAGAGTAGAAGATACTCGTAGGTTACTAGTATTTGACAACAGATGCCTTAGAAATATTGCTCGCATCTGCTGGGATAACCGGGTAAGTAATAGTGAGGTTAGACGCAGGGTATTAGGGATCGATGGTAAGTCAGTTGATGAGGTGATGAATCTTCATCGACTGAGGTGGTTGGGCCATGTGTTACGTGTGCCTGGACACCGATTACCACGACGCGCAATGATGACTAGTATTGGGGACGGTTGGATGAGAGTTAGGAGCGGCCAAACCAAAACGTGGCATCAGAGCATTAAACTTCTAGTCTGAGCCATGTTGGCAGATGCAGACTAATTGGTTGGGGTCCGCGTGACTATCGTAACCACTGGCTGGAGACTCTAGGTGACATGACTCAGAATCGATCACAATAGTGTAGGTGTATACGCTCTTTGTCTTCCCTTGAACCTTGAGATTAAAATTGCTTCATAACTTTCTTCCTTTCTATACTATATCCTTATATACAATCTATCTTTTGTATACTACCACCACTAAATTAACTACTTCTATGAATCCGGTGTTCATCTTGTTGTGCTAACGAGATATGGCAACTTGGACCGATGCATATATGTGCCTGGTCCTACATTGTAGCTGACTGACTGACTGAGGAATCAGTTTCACCAAAGTCAAAAACATTTTCCACTGAGAGTTCATTATATTAGACGGATCCAGATTCAACGCTGGTTTTCAAGCAACTGTAAAATGTAAATATCTTCAGTTGCATGTACATGATTTTTTGAAAGAAATCACTTACTTTATAAAATACCCAATACAACATTTTGACGCTCGTCGGTTTATTCCATTAGGATTCGAATGCAAAATTTGGGCAACTCTCTTAAGTGAAAAACTTCACAAAACCTACATGAGTGGAAAACGTGGTAGTTGGAAAGTATCTCGCGTCCAAAGTAGTAGCTGCACCCCACAATTGTTAGGACCTGTTTCCGTTTACCTGAATCACCAACATCAAAAGACCAAATTCCAATGAGAATTGATGACATGTCTACTTCAAAAGACAGTTTGTTCTATTCATTCCTCTAAACCTTCGACCGAATTGTTATGTGTCGTGGTCAGTGGGTATCGAAGAGACATTTTAGAGGGAATTCAAGAAACTAAGACTATAAAATAAATCTGATTTAGACGGTAGTGAGGTTGACATTATGGTTAGAAAACTGACTGAATCATTTAAAAAGGTATGACATGTCGATTATTTCACAACATTAGAATGAAGTCATTACTATTAACTACAAGAGCCTACATAAAAGATGCTAAAATCATCAGTAAACATTTGATTAACTTCAACTTATTCACTAGGTACTTAGGTATGAGCCACATTCTAAGTATGCGGACTGATTATAATACTCAGCTGCTCAAACTGATACAAGTGGAGATGGGCCCGGACCTTAGACTTGATGGCTGAAAGCCGGACGTCTTAGCCACTACGCCACCGCTTCTCCATCAGTATACAAGTCTGTTACCAGTTCGATTGCCTTTCATCCCCACACAAATGAAGGAAAACGTAAGAGACAAACTTCAGAGGACTAGGTTGATTGTTGTTCAGCTTTTTGTATGTATCGCCCGCTCCCAAACGTTTGAGCATCATCATGCCTATTTTAGGCCGACAACAGTTATATTTTTGACATCAGGGATACGTTTAATTCGTTAGGTAGGAGTATACTGTAGACATATTTCACTGCGAATTCTATTTACATTTTAAAAGCTATGTACAAAAAACAATTCAGGTAGAGTGAGAGCATAGAACTACGATTTCACTGTTACATATTAACAGTGAAATCACCCAAGACTGTACAACATCGTCATTTTCTTTTGACTTATTAATTATATACTGAAAAACAGTGATCAAATCGGCCACCTGATAGAAGACTTTTCTATATTGAATTTACTGATACGGCTTTACGGTCCCACGATATATACGCCACCTAAATCTTATTTATTCAGTTGGTGATCAGTGTCGAAGGATAGTGTATCATTAACAATGTCAATTATCGTACAGTAGAATAAAAAAGGCATGCCAGTGGTGCTGACGTGGTAAACTTGATCTGTGTGCAAAATGAGCCGGTATACAACACAAGTGTTAGCATTTGTAAATCTTATTC